TTATTGTCATTCTCTTTTACCGAATATCTCAGTCAAAATCACATCTCATCTTATCGAAAAATTTAACGGAAGACCTACTCGTTGCTCGCAACGAGATCTCATCTAGTTATTCTTCTTTTTTTCTTACAATTTTTGTGCAGACGATTTCTCGGAGATGGCTTGATGGATTTTGTTCAAATTTTCAGATTTTGTGTATGTCTATCTGAAGTTTGTACCCCCGCTTCAATTTTGAAAACATCACTTCCGGTTGTGAGTTATCGCCCTTTTAGTGATTTTTAGAGGGTCTCCTTGTCCTTAAGTTAACTCAAAAACGACATTAGCTAGAGAGCTGAAATTTTCAGCGATGATAGACGACACATTGCTGAATTGCACATTGGATTAAATTTTTGTCAGAAAGGTCCAATATGGAAGCGCGGTAGGGGTCGAAATCTAGGACACGATTCATGAGTGAATTTTCGAGACATTTTGTATCATATCTTTTAAAGTATAACTATTTTGTTAAAACATACTGAACAAAATTTGTGCTGAATGAGAAGATCTTTAATATGATATCAAGAAAAAAGTGCTGACACATCACATTAGGGGCCAAGAGGGGCTAAAAGTTTTTTTTTGATAGCTATTTAACAGTCAATATTTTGTTATACATTAATGAAGCAAAAGTGTTTACCTCAACAATCTACAACTGTATTTTATGATTTTAATATCGTATGGTACATAATTAGGGGCCACAAGGGGCCAGAATGCTAAATCTTTACGCTTTATATCTCAAAAGTGAGAAATATTTTGATAAGTGATATTGAACAAAAGATGTTCAAAATCATGTTCTGAACAATATGCAACCTTTCATTTTTCGCTAAACGTCCCCATTAGGGAGTTGAAGGGTTGACCCCTAAATATTTCTTTTGCAATTAACTCGAAAACGAAAAAGAATCTCTGAATAGTTGTTGAACAAAAAGTGTTCAAAATCCTAAGAGCTTTAAGATGAAATCCAGAAAAAGGGGCTGGACACTCAAATTAGGGGCCAAGAGGGGCTAGAAGTCTTTTTTCGATAACTCTTTAACAGTCAATATTTTGTTATACATTACTGAAGCAAAAATGTTTATCTCAAAAATCTACAACTGTATATTATAATTTTTATGTCGTATATTACATAATTAGGGGCTACAAGGGGCCAGAATGCTAAATCTTTGATGCTTTATATCTCGAAAGTGAGAAATATTTTGACAAGTAATATTGAATAAAAGATGTTCAAAATCATGTTCTGAACAATATGCAACCTTTCATTTTTCGCTAAACGTCCCCATTAGGGAGTTGAAGGGTTGACCCCTAAATATTTCTTTTGCAAATAACTAGATAACGAAAAAGAATCTCTGAATAGTTGTAGAACAAAAAATGTTCAAAATCCTAAGAGCTTTAAGATGAAATCCAGAAAAAGGGGCTGGACACTCAAATTAGGGGCCAAAAGGGGCTAAAAGTCTTTTTTCGATAACTCTTTAACAGTCAATAATTTGTTATACATTACTGAAGCAAAAATGTTTCTCTCAACAACCTACAACTGCATATTATGATTTTTAGGTCGTATATTACATAATTAGGGGCTACAAGGGGCCAGAATGCTAAATCGTTGATGCTTTATATCTCGAAAGTGAGAAATATTTTGACAAGTAATATTGAACAAAAAATGTTCAAAACCATGTTCTGAACAATATGCAACCTTTCATTTTTCGCTAAACGTCCCCATTAGGGAGTTGAAGGGTTGGCCCCTAAATATTTCTTTTGCGAATAACTCAAAAACGAAAAAGAATCTCTGAATAGTTGTTGAACAAAAAGTGCTCAAAAGCCTAAGAGCTTCAAAATAAAATCCAGGAAAAGGGGCTAGTACTCACATTAGGGGCAAAAAGGGGCTAAAAGTTTTTTTGATAACTCTTTAACAGTCAATAATTTGTTATACATTACTGAAGCAAAAATGTTTATTTTAACAATCTACAACTGTATATTATGATTTTAAAGTCGTACATTACATAATTAGGGGCCACAAGGGGCCAGAAGGCTAAATCTTTGACGCTTTGTATCTCGAAAGTGGGAAATATTTTGATAAGTAATATTGAACAAAAGATGTACAAAATCATGTTCTAAACAAAATGCAACCTTTTGTTTTTTGCTAATCGTCCCCATTAAGGAGTTGAAGGGTTGGCCCCTAAATATTTCTTTTGCGAATAACTCGAAAACGAAAAAGAATCTCTGAATAGTTGTTGAACAAAAAGTGCTCAAAATCCTAAGAGCTTCAAAATAAAATCCAGGAAAAGGGGCTAGTACTCACATTAGGGGCCAAAAGGGGCTAAAAGTTTTTTTGATAACTCTTTAACAGTCAATAATTTGTTATACATTACTGAAGCAAAAATATTTATTTTAACAATCTACAACTGTATATTATGATTTTAAAGTCGTACATTACATAATTAGGGGCCACAAGGGGCCAGAAGGCTAAATCTTTGACGCTTTGTATCTCGAAAGTGGGAAATATTTTGATAAGTAATATTGAACAAAAGATGTTCAAAATCATGTTCTGAACAATATGCAACCTTTCATTTTTCGCTAAACATTCCCATTAGGGAGTTGAAGGGCTGGTCCCTTAATATTTCTTTTGCGAATAACTCGAAAACAAAAAAGAATCTCTGAATAGTTGTTGAACAAAAAGTGTTCATAATCCTAAGAGCTTTAAAATGTTATGAAGAAAAAAGGGCTGATCTCTAATATTAGGGGCCGTGAGGGACCAAAAGTCGATTTTAGAAGTCTTTATTGTTCAATGTCTTTTTACAGATTATGGAAAATCATTACTTTAGAATGCAAATCACATTCAAAATCTTATCTCATCTCATCAAGAATAGGGCGGAAGACCCACTCGTTGTTCACAACGAGATCGTATCTAGTTATTCTTTTTTTTCTTATTTGTTCTCCGGTACTTTTTTGTCCGGAAGTGTTCTCAGAAACTGTTCACCCAATTGACCTAAAACCTTTTTAGGGTTAATAGGTGTGTAGTGTAGGTGTGCGGAACGAAGGTCATTTTGCTCGCATACGCCTGCACGTGCGTGCACGTGCAACACGTGAAATGACTTATATACTTAATATAGCTATAACTTTTACATTTTTTAATGAAATGATTTAAAACTCATTATATAAAGATATATTCATAATGTAGATAATGTGACACTGTCAAATTAGCACGAACTCACGCGCATGCACGTGTGCTTCGCTCTGATTGGCTGAAACAAAAATCTCAGTATCTTCTCTGTTCTTTGATGAAATGCTTTGAAATTTAAAACATAGTCTTGAATTACGATAACCTACAATATAATATAGAAAAAATTTCATGAAATCACGTGCATGCACGTGTGCTGCAATCTGATTGGCTGACACTTTAAATGACTATATCGCCTTTGTTTTTTGACGAAATGCTTTGAAATTTAAAACATAATCATACATTAGGATGTCCTGCAATATGATATACAAAAAATATCAAGAAATTACGCGCATGCACGTGTGCTGCGATCTGATTGGCTGAAACTTTAAATGACCATATCTCCTCTGTTTTTTGACGAAATGCTTTGAAATTTAAAACATAGTCATTCATTAGGATATCCTACAATGCAGTATAGAAAAAAATCATGAAATCACGCGCATGCACGTGTGCTGCAATCTGATTGGCTGAAACTTGAAATGGCTATAACTCCCTTGTTTTTCAACCAAACAGGATGGGATTCAGAACATAGATTAATATAAGGGACTCCTACAAGAAGGTATGGTCATCATGCACGTGCACGCACGTGCGTACATTTGGAACGAATGAAATACGAAATACACTTGAATGATTTTTAATACTTTTGGACTGAATGCTTTCCTATATAGTATATCACAGGGAATATGGCACTAAAAGGGAGTTGGGGAGCGTTTGGGGAACATCTGTAACGGTTCCCGTTACAATTAGCACTAGTTATCATTATTATGCATACAAATTTTAAAAAGAAATTAAAAAAAAAAATGATATGTTATGTAGGTGTATCAACACCTGTTCTAAAGACAACAGGTAAAGTAAATCTTAGTTATGTACAATCAGCAGTTCTACATATAGATCTTTGTACAAAAAAAAAAAGAAGAAAGGGAAAAAGTTAACTTTGTTTTTTTTTTTCACCGACATCAACAAGAAATACTCAGTATTTAGGTTATTTGGTAGTAAGATTAAAAGAAAAGATGTCATCAAACTTTTTGAATAAAAAAATATATAAGACAGTTTGAAACTAGGTTCCATGATAATATACATTTTTGATAATCATTTTAAATAAAATTTTTAGGGAGGAAGGATAGGAAATGAACATTTTTGCAAGAATGGAATTAAAGTATTTTCAGAATTCATTGTAGAGTTGCAAACAACAATGAGAGAAGGATCAACACCCCCAACTCCGCCTTCAGAAAAGCATAGCAGTCATCCAGATGTAGCGGGTTAGTTTAAGACTGTAATCTTTTTTTTCCCTTGGAATACTTAATGTTAAAATTGTACTTTTTGAATAAAAAAATATATAAGACAGTTTGAAGCTAGGTTCCATTATAATATACATTTTTGATAATCATTTTAAATAAAATTTTTAGGGAGGAAGGATAGGAAATGAACATTTTTGCAAGAATGGAATTAAAGTATTTCAGAATTCATTGTAGAGTTGCAAACAACAATGAGAGAAGGATCAACACCCCCAACTCCGCCTTCAGAAAAGCATAACAGTCATCCAGATGTATTGGGTTAGTTTAAGACTGTAATTCTTTTTCCCCTTGGAATACTTAATGTTAAAATTGTATTTTTGATAAATCATTTTTTTTAACTTTTTTTTTTTTACTGGTAAGTAAATTACAAAAAAAAGGCAACCTATAATTATTAGGAGGAAAGATGGTGAATTATTTTTTTGTAAAAATTTTATATAATCTTGATATTTTTTTTTACCATAGCTGATGGTGTGTATAATGTACATTCAAGACCTCAGAGAAGTTTGTGTGAGCATTTTACTTTTTTAATGAAAAAATAAATTAAAAAAAGAAAAAGTTTATGCATGTTAAAACACATGGTAAGGATACATTTACCTTTTCTTTCTAAAATGCACCCTTTTCAATACAGTTGTATTCTCTAAAAACTAGAAAAAGGTTTACATCAATGTTGATGTTGAAATATTATGAATGATTTATTAACAAAAATAAAATTATGTATTTATAATTGTAGATGATCAGGATCTGGGAGGCATGGAGGAACCAAAAACCATAGGTTAGTTCTTCATCAACCTACGCATGTTGTGCTCTTTTGACACGCAATTTAATTCAATTTAAAATGTTGAGAAAACATGAAAATTTCAAACAAATATATATTTAACAAAAAAAAAAATGGAAAAGTGGAGTCTCAATGAGACAATGTGTAAAGTCTGTCTGATGAGAATTTAATAATCTAAGGCATAAGGCATATTCCCAGGCTGATGTAGAAAAGGGTAATATTCAGAAGTTGATACAAGATAATAATCTATTTATTTTTTTTAAAATATGCTTCTTTACATCTTAATAGGTTTCCTTATCTGGGCCCTAATAACAACGCTGACCGTGTTAGTCTTTATTTTGCGACTGCTCGCCCGCATGAATCACAGATGTTGTGCTCACAACATTGCAGAAGTAGCTGACCAACTAGATGCTTGGAGCCATACTACTGTGCAACCAGGAACTGAGACCCACACTACTGTGCAACCAGGAAGTGAGACCCATGCTACTGTGCAACCTGGAACTGAGACCCACGCCACTGTGCAAGCTGGAACCGAGACCCAAGCTACTGTGCAACCAGGATCTGAGACCCACGTTACTGTGCAACCTGGAACTGAGACTCGCGCTACTGTGCAACCAGGAACTGAGACCCACACTACTGTGCAACCAGGAAGTGAGACCCACGCTACTGTGCAACCTGGAACTGAGACCAACGCCACTGTGCAAGCTGGAACCAAGACCCATGCTACTGTGCAACCAGGATCTGAGACCCACGTTACTGTGCAACCTGGAACTGAGACTCGCGCTACTGTGCAACCAGGAACTGAGACCCACTCTACTTTGCAACCAGAGACCCCGAAACTAATTCCGTTTTTGATGAATCAACACACTCCACCATCTCAAGCTACTACTCCGTCCATAACACCATCAACCACTTCCTCCACCGCACCATTGTTGCCACCTGAATCCATTTCAGACCGTACTAGGTCAAAGTCAAAGAAAAAACTTGCATTGTAAAAATAGTTACATCAGGGTACTTATTTTTGGATACTTTTCTTGTTTACCAATGATTAGTCAAACTTGGAGCATTTTTCTTTTTTGGATTGGCATTATGGTACCTTTGTACTTGTTTGTCACTGGAGAGTAAGACTTGAAGCATTTTTTTTTTTTTGCATCATGGTACTTTTGTGTTTTTTTTTGTTTGTCAATGGTGAGTAAAACTTTTTTCTTTTTTTTGTTGAAGCATTTTTTTTGTTTTGCTTCAAGGTACTTTTGTACGTTTCTTGTTTGTCAGTGGTTTGACAAATTTTTTTTGTTTTTTTTCCTTAAGGGGTATTTCCATGTATGGATTTTTTTTTAAATCTACGTACATTAAAAAATATTAGTTTTAATGATTGTTTGTGTAGTCAAGAATAATTACACATTTTGTTTATGTGCTTTTAATTTTTCTTTGCATAACATTTAAGGTTAAGATCATTATACATCTACATCTGTATGTTTTAAACTTTTTTTTTTGGAAATCCAAGATACCATGTTTATTTCATTTTTACATGATTGAAAAAAAAAATGATATTGTACAAGGATGTTCTTCTTTATACCTGTATTTACTTTTTTTTTTCAATTTCATTTCAAATACTTATGCATGTATGTGATTTTATGTTTTAGAAAAAAGCACAGCGTTTTTTTTTATAACCTTCGGTAAATTTTCACACGTTTTAAACACGCCCAAGTATTTTTTTATATATGTGATTCAACTAGTCATGTTGATATTTTATAAGGATATTTTACTTTAAATGTTTTGATGGAATTTCATCCATATTAAACAGTTTTGAATGATTTCAGACTTCTTTTTTTTTTTAAAGAAAAAACAAACTTGTACATCTTTTTCATTATTATATCTTCAAGCAAAAGACAGTTTGTAATATACACAAATACACACAGGTGTAATCAAGTTTTGTAATCCCAAGTATAGTTTAGTACATGGGCATACAAAACTTGATTACACCTGTGTATATTACAAGCAATGTCTTCTGGTTGAGAATATATTAATAAAAAATTTTTTACAAGTAATAATGAAATTGATAGCACCAAAAATAGATCTGGCTTATTTTGTTTTAATGTTTAAAGTTAATGGTTGCAATTTTTAATTTCAATTGAAGAAAAATGGCTGAAGACGGTCTCTTGAAAGAAATTTTGGAGTCCTTGAACGATGCAGACACCATTAATTTGTTTGCTGAAGTCCATGGTCTAACGGGTAATGTTGATGTGGAAAACCGATTAAAGGAAATCAATTGGAAACAACATGTTGACAGTTTATGGGAAGAGCTGCTTCTTGACCTGGAACCCTCTTCAAAGAGACCAAGGCCATCACTTGATGACGCACCATTAACTAGCGTTCAGACCGGGGGTGGAAAGGAAAATACAAAGGTTGAGAAACCTTACTTCATATGGAAGAAAGATACCCGGACCTTCAAAAAGAATCTGGCTCGCGACACAAGTTATAAGGTTAAATTCAATGATGAGTGGCAAGGGGACAGATTAATAGATATTTATGACAAATTACATGATATGTTTGATGACGTGTTGTCCCAGGCTAGAGGACACGATGCTGATCTAGGTCGAGTGGTACTCAGTCACCCCAATTTAAACAACCCCATTGTCGTCCCATTACAATCATGGGAAAACCTAAATTCTGATACAGTGATGTCTGAAATTACGAAGGTTCTAAACTCCAACGAAACAATTCCTGTTGACGAGCATTTACTCGTCACTGTAGGATCAATCGATTTGCCAAAGGGTGGGAGTTGGAGTGGAAATAAATTATCGGTAACGTCGCTCTTTGGACCTAATAATACTCTGAAGAGAAAGAAATCGGTCTTGTACGTTGAAAATGACAACAATCTCTGTTTACCCATCGCCATAGGTCTATGTTTCATGAAGACCTGTAAAAAGGTAGACGCTCCGACGTGGTCGCGTTTAGTCGGAAACGACTCGGAGGCGGCCATTATGAGTCATGTGATTCAACACAAAACCGTTCCCAAACACTATTACGGTAACCTGCTTAAAAAATCACGTAAGAAATACCAGACCGAAATGGCCATTTGGCTGTGTGAAAGAGCAGATGTACCTGTCAACAGATATTTGGGTCTGAATGATATCGAACCCTTCGAAACCCTGCTGAATGCGAGTATCAATGTGGTGTCGTCCCGTGTGGGTAACAAATTTGTCCGTGTTACAAAAGGAGATATGGAAAGAACTTCTCTATACTTGTATCACGTAGAGACAGAAAATGAGAAACATTGGCATGGTATTGGAAATATACAAGGGTTCTTCAATACCAGTTACTTTTGTCATTCGTGTTTAAAACCCTATAAAAACAAATATGCACATACTTGTGCGACTTCATGTGACGTGTGTCTGCACGATAACTGTCCCGAGTCGGAAGTGCAGGTAGGATGTCCATTTTGCGGTCGTGTCTGTCGTTCACTGACCTGCTTTGAAAGACATAAAGTCGAGAAAATGGTAAGAAAAGACAAGCTGCCCCCTGCCTGTCAACTATGGCATCAGTGTAAGAAATGTCGCGTTAAACTGTCGGTTGCTAAACGCAATCCTAAACTACACGCCTGTGGCGAGTGGCAATGTCCTAGCTGTTACGAATTCTACGTAGGGGAACACTTCTGTTATCAAAAGTCCTCTCAATCCCATCCTGAGGAACGAGAGAAAAAAAAAATCATTTTCTATGACTTTGAAACACGTCAAGATGATATTTTTCAATGCGAACAGGGTTACACTCCTTCTCGTATTAGATGTCGAGAATGTGTTGTCAAAGAACGTCAGTGTGTAGATTGTAGGCTCTGTCGGTATTGTGAGGATCCGTCTTGTGGGCTACAACAACATAAAGTAAATTTTGCTGTACTACAAACGTCCTGTCATGTCTGCGAACAGAAAGAATTAAACGAAGATTCTAAATGTAACGAGTGTGGTGTACGCTGTGTCAGGTGCTGTCAAATGAAGAAATCAAAGTTCGTGGGCCCCCCTGTCCAGATACTTGCGGTCACCGGGAACTGATCTTTCGTGGCGAAAACGCGGCACAACAGTTTTGTGCCCACGTGACTCAACCTCATTTGAAAAACACCATTTTAATTGCTCATAATGCCAAAAGCTTTGACTTGTATCCAATTTTAGAGGTTCTCATCGACCGACATTCGATTCGGCCAGATAAAATCATTTACAATGGATCCAAAGTAATGTACATGCACATCGCCAACAAACTGAATCTCACGTTTTTGGATTCGTTAAATTTCCTACCCATGAAATTGGCAAAGATTCCAGAAGCGTTTGGTCTAGAAGAACTCAGCAAGGGGTTCTTCCCGCATTTTTTTAATACTAAAGAAAACCAAACTTACGTGGGCCCTTATCCAGCTCTGGAATTCTACGGATACAATTTCATGTCGACGGGGGAGCGAAAGAAGTTAGCCAGTTGGCATGCAAGCAAGAGTTCCGAAGTATTTAACTTTCAAAAAGAAATGTTGAAGTACTGTCGATCAGACGTCGACATTTTAAGAAGGGGTTGTATAGCGTTTCGAAATACAGTACTTCAAGTCACAACAATTGAAAATTCACATGTTCAACCTGATGGTAGTATTTCAAAGTAGTATTTCATTTGCCTCGATATATAAACTGTCTTTAGGAGAAGTTCGAAAAGCTCCCAAGCACAGTCTAAGGCCTTGATGGTGAATTGCATCAAGAGCTTTTACGTAAGAAGTTCTTGCCGAGCCATACACAATACAACCATAATCTAACTTGGATCTTACTAAAGAACGATATAGTTTTAAAAGAGTATTTTTATCTGCCCCCCATTTTGTTTTTGCAATTACTTTAATTACATCTAAAGCCTTCGTGCATTTCTCTTTAAGCATTTTTATATGCGACACAAAAGAAAGTTTACTATCAAAAATGATACCTAAAAACTTTATTTCTTTTACAACTTTAATTGGATTTCCATCGAGCAGCAGACGTGGTTCGTCATGCGCCTTCCGTTTGGAACAAAAATGAACGCAAGCGGTTTTGCTTTTTGAAAATCTGAATCCATTTACATCAGCCCAATTTTGAATTTTATTTAGACAACTCTGCAATTTTCGTTCAATATAGTTCATATTTTTGGATCTAAAACAAAGAACAAAATCATCAACATATAAACTTCCATGCATATCATTTTCAAGAACTTCAGCTAAGTTGTTGATTTTTATACTGAATAGAGTTACTGATAGAATACTACCTTGTGGTACACCCATTTCCTGTTCAAAACTTTCTGAATATGTAGACCCTAAGCGTACTTTAAAATGTCTATCATTCAAGAAATTCTTGATAAAATTTGGTAAATGACCTTTAAGACCCATAGTGTAGAGGTCTTCTAAAATGCCATGTCTCCATGTAGTATCATATGCTTTTTCTAAATCAAAAAACACAGATACAACATGCTCTTTTTTAATAAAGGCATCTCGAATATAGGTTTCCAGTCTCACCAACTGGTCAATAGTACTGCGGTTTTTCCTAAAACCACATTGAATATTAGTTAAAATGTTATTAGTTTCAAGAAACCATATAAGTCGTTCATTTATCATCCTTTCCATGGTTTTACATAAACAGCTTGTTAAAGCAATAGGACGGTAATTATTTGGATCTGTGTGATCCTTCCCAGGCTTTGGGATGGGAATTATTGTAGCTTGGGTCCATGAGGGTGGAAAGTGACCCTGCTCCCAAATCGTATTGAAAATTTGCAGAAGACATTGTTTACTTTTTAAAGGAAGGTGTTTAATTATTTGATAATGGATTTCATCCGGTCCTACTGCTGTGTCATGGGATTTATCTAAAGATTTCTGAAGTTCATCTAAAGTAAATGGATGATTATAACATTCATTGTTTTCAGATGTAAAATCTAATATTTTCTTTTCTTGTGATTTTTTATGTTTACTAAACTTAGGGCTGATATTTTTGTTGGAGGAATTTTTAGAAATTGTATTACCTATTTCATTTGAGATCTCTTTTTTATCCGTTATAATTTTATTTCGAGCATTAAGATGTTGATATTTTTCAGGACCTTTACCTTTAATTTTTCTAATTGCATTCCAGACCTTATTAATAGGAGTATGAGAATTAAGGCTGGAAATGAATCTTTTCCAAGATTTTCGTTTATTAAAGTTAATAGTTCTGCGAGCTTTTGCTCTAAATATACGGAAATTGCTTAAATTTGCTGATGTTGGTATCCGATTAAATTGTCTCTCTGCTTTTTTGCGAGCTTTAATAGCATCATTGCATTCTTCGGTAAACCATGGTTTTTTACTTTTAGAGGAATTTGTCGAGGTTTTAGGTATACATTTATTTGCAGTAGTTAATAGGATTTCAGTAAATTTTTTAATAGGATCAAGATCATTCTCGAACGTTTCGGACGAAATATTTTGTAAGCATAAGTTTTCAAATTGTATCCAATCAGCTTTGTTTAGCTTCCAGTTTTGAATAGAAATATTTTCAAAGGATACATCTAGTTTAATGTTTTTGGAAAGTGCTGCTAGAATCGTATGGTTTACGGGAATTAATGCATTTTTTTCGATGTTATGAACAAAATGTAAAAATTTTGGGAAGGTTTCGTCAGAAAGTGCTGCATAATTATTTCTGTGATAGGACAGTAGGATTCTAGCAGCACTTTTCATGGTACACAGATGTTTTTACATAATTATTATTACAAATTGAAATTAATTATCCCCGGGGTAGTGTTGAACTTTTCACTTTTTCATCAAGGCATATTTTCTAATTATAGACGTCACGTGGTGACGTCAATGGTAAAGAGCTTCATGTAGTAGAAGTCCCATTGAAGTCTATAGAATGCATAATTATATCAAAAGTTTTATGCTTGACTTTTCCGATTTATTAGTGTTACATAATTATAAAAAAGTCTTTATTCGCCGAATTCTGGTCCATGTGATGCCTTAACATACCCGCGCGGTAGGATACACAAAATTTAGCATAGCAATGTCAATATTTTCAAAATGCTTTTTAACTATGTTAAATCAGATAAGATTTCCCTAAATCTGAGAACAAATTTTGATTACTGACTAGATACAGTAAAACTGGTTTAGTACGAGCATGGATATTGCAAATTCATGGATATAGCAAAGTTATCTTGGATCCCCAGCTAAATAAATTTAAACAATTCCTTTTTACGGATACACTGTAAAATGAATTATGGACATAGCGAAGTAATTTTATAGGTCCCAGTGACTTCTTTATAACCAAGTTTCAATACAGTCATTAGAAACATTGAAATTTTTGACATCGTATAACACTTACTGTAATGTAATGTCGCACAGACTGTCCAACAGTGCATCAAAAATCTGCATCCTCACTGTTACAACTTAGTTTACTTAATACCCAAGAGCAGAAAAGATTTTCATAGAAATAATGCATTTTCATTATATAATCTATATAGCCCCGCCCTAGCACTAATACCCCTGACCCTGGGGCCATGAATTTCACAATTTTGGTAGAGGACTCAATGCTCATTACATTCTTGCCAACAGTTTGCCTGCTTGATGTCAAGGAGTAAAGAAGATTTTTCAAGATTGCTATTATTTTGGTGGTTGTGGCCCCCCCCTAAGGCCCCAGGGGGGCGGGGACCATGAAATTCACAATTTTGTTCCCCTTCACCCACAGATTATGTATACAAAATGTCGTTGAAATTGGTTTAGCATTTTCAGAGAAGAAGCTGAAAATGTTCAAATGTTAACGAACGACGGACGACGACAGACAAACACTGATGGCAATTGGTCACCTGAGTGACTCAGGTGACCTAAAAACAATTGAACAGTTAACAAGGGAGAGTCAATTAGGGTTGTTGTTGCCACCAGTGCATTAGGAATGGGAGTAAATGTATCACCATACCACAATGTTATAATATATGGATATTCCCCAGAGGAGGTAGCGCATTTTGTACACGGCACGCTACTTCGAACTATATTATCGAACGTCAACCGTTAAACAAATCAGTTTCAATATGGCGGTCAGAGTGGTAACTTCGACTAGCGACTGGTTAAATTGCAACGAACTGTGGTTGTTTTGCATTGAGAAAGATGTTTTTTTCCATCCCGATGAGAGATTGTCCCAGTTTGCGTGTTTCTGCGAGGGTTGCACACGTCAGTCCAGTTAATAAGTCATTAGGGCCCCGCAAGGATTTGCGGGTGCCCTATAGTAATCACTCTGTCCGTCCGTCCGTCTGTCTGTCCGTCTGTCACTCTTCCGTCCACAAATTTTCTGTTTTTTTCTAATAACTTTTTTTATGGTTGCCCAATCAAGTTTAAATTTGGTATGGTAGTTTAATGGGCAGAAATACATATTTTGATGCTAAGTTTGATTCTCTATGTCTTCTAGTTTGGAGCTGGGGTGGTGGGGTAGATTCCTTAACTATGCATAAGAATGAACGGGCCACTTTTTTTATGGTTGCCCAATTAAGATCAAATTTGGTACAGTAGTTCAGTTGGCAAAAATACATATTTTGATGATAAGTTTGGTTCTCTATGTCCCTTGGTTTGGAGCTGGGGTGGTTGGGTAGATTCCTTAACTCTATATAAGAATGCATTGGCAAAGAGAGATAACTGCTGAAGATGTTCCCATTCAGTAAACTGAATGCTACTAGGAGTCCTATGGGATTAATTAGCTTTCCTCCTGAAGAAAATCCAGAGCATTATCTTTATCTGTCACATTGAGATTAATTACCACCTCTGTCTGCAAATGAAGTTTGTTTTGAAGTTAAATCAATTTGGAATGCTATGAACACTCTGAAATGTGGATTTAAATATAAATTTTTATTATTTAATTTTGTTTGATAGTTATGATTTCATTGAATCCTAAAATAAAATAGATTAAAGAAGATTTTTTGATTTACCAGGGTACTTTTTTCACTTTTTTCCTTTTTTTTTTAAATACATAATGTATATTAATTCAAGAATGTTTTTAATTTTTAATGTAGTATAAAAACCCCATTCTATCATTAATACTGAAAAAGTTCTTATTGTAACTTTAGAAGAAAATGATGAGAGAGGTACAATTAATCCCTTGGGATTAATTATCTAGCCTGCTGCAGAAAATTTAGTAGGCTTTTCTTTATCTGTCACTTTAAGATTAATGAAAACCTTTGTCTGCAACTGCTGTTTGTTTGAAGTTAAGGTCAAGCCTTCATGATATTTGCATTCATTGAAGGCTGGCATTTTATATAACACAAGATTCATAATTGTTTAAATATAAATTCAATGTTAAATTGTTCTTTACTGCCTAATGTAGATACAAGAATATTATTTTCAGGTTTTTGAATATTCAGGAATTATGTTGAAATTTTAAGAATACAGTTGCTGTTGCTTTTTCTTTGTACATTTATTAATCATTCTGTAAGCTGCACCCTTTTAATTCTAACCCATGGCGGGGCCCTTGCTGACTGGTCAGTTTTCTAGTTAGTACGACGCCGGATTCTGCTGGCTGCTGATAGGCTTAAGTCCAGACTCCCCAGTCAATCGCCTGTGTTGTTACTCGTCGACAATTCGTGCAATTTTCAGGTACATTTCATATATTTTGCACATTTAATTCATCTAGACATAATTTTAAACAAGCTAGGGAAGTGGTGTGTGAGGAGTTCGGATGGCGTCTTTTTTAACTTAAGGACAAATCAAAGAAATTAACCCCTTTATTTTACATGTCCTGCTATAAAAGAGAACATTTAATCAATTCTTATTTCTACCGAAAATGACTTGAGAAAGAGCTATAGCGCATTTGATAGGCATTTTTGCCTACTATATATGTGATTTTTTAAATACATTGCTTAACCACAAATTTTTCATACAATGTTAGTTATTACATACCTTTAAGGAAATCACACAAAAATGATATTCACCAGGTCCAGCACTATCTCTTGATTAAGCTGTATAGCTTGATTTAGCTATATAACTTTATTAAGCTATTCAGAATAGCTAGATTAAGCTATTTTCTCAGACTTTCTTCTCAAATGACAAATATAATATTTTTTTCAACATGTGCAAAAAGTTGCACCTTGGTGCAGTGAAAATATTACTTTGTACTTTTTACTATGAAAATATAACACTGGTCAACAAATGAGTACAAACTTGTAGTTTGATCTTGAATTGAAAAAGGTACATGTATCTATAAATAGAAACAAGTGATTCCCTTTTAAATGCTGGCTATGGCTCTTTGAGATTTCATGATTCAGTACTGTCAACTATTTAGCCAAATGAATAGGCTGAAAGCTTTATCTAGGTAGAAATCTCGAAAACACCACACAGAACAGCTTGTCTTTGTATTACAGATGTGTAATTTGAGAAGTAGGACCTATTGGTAGATTAAGTAATTCTTTAATTCTTGATTATGTAATCAGGGATTTTCCACACCATTTTGGGAATGGGGCCCGGGTCCTTGGAATTGGGAATTTAACGGCAATTTAACAATAACTGGGAAATTTTATAGCATGATGTTTTTCAAGAAATAATACTTATAATTAATAAATTTGATGTTTTCCTTAATTAAAAATTGTAAATAATAGATAGATCAATAATAATAATTTTTTAGCCAAATTTCATAAAAATTTTGTTTATTTTTATTTCAGTTTAACAAAAAAATGGCCATTGTTTTACCAGAAATTTAATCAAGCTAACTTTATGGGTTCTATTTTTGGAAAAACAGAGGGATTTTGCAATTGGGAATGGGGCCCATATTCGGCCCTACAGGGGGCAGTGAAAAATCCCTGGTAATTTAAATTTTAATTACTGCACACATAAGAATTACCCTTATTATTGAGCACTATGCCACTTGATTTTGTGATAAAGCTCCTAGGCATTTTTTAATGTGTCATTAACAATATAAATACAATGTTTTACAATTTTGTTGAGCTTATTCATTGATTTCTTTTTCCAGTTTGAAAAAGAAGAAGTCAACGGACTTTTCTGCTGTGGTGAGGAATCATGGGCAGTCATAGTTTGGTCCTTCACTGTCATACCTGGGGCCCAGTTCAATGGAACACCTCAACAGATGAATGCTGTGGACATTCCTGGGATGCCTGCTCTCGGACACTCAGCGTGTGTGTGCTGCTCACAAAGTACTGGAGTCTCCATTCAGTCAACGGGCTGTCCAGTGAATCCAGTAGTGAGTGAATCTGATGACAGTGAGCCGTGTTCGGGGGATGAGGATGAAGACTCGTCAGAGCTATTCACTCAAGTATTCGCCGTGAAGGGGTCTACGTATGAAGATAGGTACCAGACCAATTTAAAAACTGTCCAGGATGCCCTAAGACATCAAAAAGACATTGTCGTCCAATTGGTGCCCGAGAGAGAAAACCCCAGACATTAATGCCATATGTGTTATTGCACTCATAGAGGAACAGTCTCTTCCACTCGGATACGTAGGTGTGAGGAAAATTCCGAAAGTGACTTCGGCCATTAAGAACAGGGAAATCGTGTCCATCCATGTGAAATCTGTGACTTCCTGGTTTGTGAACAACCTAAATGCCAGAAAACTACGGGCCTTTTTTTACATATGTAAAAGAGGAAGATGGCTACCAGACAGTGATAGCAATACTTACAACTCTGTTCTTTGAAATAAAAAGTGCGGATTCAGTGTTTGACAAACATTATTTATGATACAGTGTTTATTAATCACATCATTTAAAATAAGGATATGGAGATAACAAACAGTATTTAATCGCAAAGTCCATAAAACAATACAAAATAAGAGCAGAGCAAACATTGACCTCCAAAACAACAGAGATGGGATCAGGTGCCATGGAAGAGTGAGCGTCTCCGGCTGTTTGGTCACACCCGCAGTGTGCTCCTTGTTGTGATAAGGAAATAACGTAAAAAGAAGATATGAGCAAACGTGGACCTCTGAAACATCAGAGGTGGGATCAGGTGCCATGGAGGAGTGAGCGTCTTATGCTGTCCTGTCACAACCACCGTGTGCTCCATGTTGTGAAGAGGAAATAACGGAAAAATCTGTCGTCAATTCAGTGTATAACTAATGGACTATCAATTGGTTTTAAAAATGTTGGTCAGCATTTGACTCAATAATAAAATGTATTTTCTTTTTGACAATCTAATTAAAGCTAAATTGTGTTTACCTGGTATTGGTTGATAGAATTCACTTTATATGATACAAATGTGAATCATGAAATTGGTTGCCTTATGTTTTGATTTTGAGTTAAGGAAACTGTGATAATCTGATGAAAGCTAAATTGTGTTTATAATATTGTACATTTTGATGATCTCTTTGTAAAATCAACATATTCCGTTTTTTATAGTTTTTTTTGAAAATTGACTTAACTCAAAATCAAAACATAAGGAAACCAATTTCATGATTCTCATTTGTATCATATAAAGTGAATTCTATCAAACAATACCAGGTAAACACAATTTAGCTTTAATTAGATTATCAAAAAGAAGATTTTTCTTTAGTTACACAAAATCGAAGCACAACAACATGTTCAGATTACCTGGTAGATTTGCAGGTTAATTTAAAACAACACAATTCTGTAATAATCAAAATGTTCAATATGTCATATTGAAATCATACTTTGGGAAACAATGGTTTTCAATCATTCAATTTAGGTTATAGAATTTAGAAAATAGGTCACATCAATTTTAATCATAGTGGAACTTCTAAAAATGTTCAATCTTTATGGCGAACTGCATTGGGAACTGGTGGTAGTCCCACATCCACTCGAAAAAGTCTCTGTCTCATGGACAGCTTGTTCTTGGCTGGCAAGAATGCCCGTCCTGCCGTGAATATAGAGCTGTCCTCACGAGACTTATGTTTTACAACATGAAGTCTTTTGTCACCAGTTCCTTCGTCAAATTGGGATTGTTCCACATGAAATCTTTCGTTAAGTGTCCAGTAGTGGAATTTTAAATCGGGGTCAATTCTTTTGGAGAATTCTCTGACCAGTTTCCTCCAACCAGTGCGAAATTCCTTCACTGTGAAGGTATCCCCAAGGTGCCGCCTGGTCAAGCTGAAAAAACATTCAACATCATCTGTTGTGGCGGCCCTTGGGTGTTCAGGATACCCCAGGATGTTGTTCTGCCTCCGTCTGTATTCTTGACTTTCAATATTTGTCGTAATCTCTATGAAAGTTTCCCTGGTGAACCCCCTGATTGTATCCATTGGTCTAAAATATAAGAAAAAGGAAAATGTTGTAGTGGTTAAAGTAATCGTGTTAATACATCCATCAGAGGAAAAATTAAATTCTTACACAGGTGTATGACAAGTTAGAACTATCAATCAAAATACATGTGTACAATAGTTTGCAGCAAAGAGAATATATTTATTGTTTTGAAAAATCCTTTCAGACTGGAAGCTGTGGAACTACACACAGATTTAAAATCTACTAGCTGGTATATGAAGGTACACTGACCTGTTTATGTTGAGAGTTGAGAAATCATATCTCTCCTTGTGCCATGGCATCAACTGATCCAACAGGTAATTAAGCATCTCATGGTTTGCTTTGCAGCGATCTAGCTGGCTCATCCCTCTTCCGTCTGAAGCTTCATGCCAGGCAGCTATGGTCTGCACATACTCTGCTTCTAAGTTAAAGTCCTGCTTTTGCATTGAGGCCGCAACATGATAGGATAAGAGTCTCTCTGCATCTTCTACGGATTGTGGGCGTTGACCTGTTAGAGCAGCATGGGATAATCCTGTTAGTGGATCATGGCTTTGTCAAAGGCTTCCGGATTAAGCTCTTCGTAACGACATTCTCTTGTGCAGCCAGCAATTCTCTTCAGTAAGTGGTTATGGTCACCTCTCTCATGATGATCTTTCCCAGTGACTGAATCCTTCTCAGGAACATACAGGTGTTGGGTGAAGTCCCTACCCTCTTGCTTCAAGGTTTTGATCGCATCTTTATAAATAAAAGTGGCCACAATGCTCCTCATCTTGTCCAGGAAGGACTCCGGGGTATCCTTTCTGAATGGATATGGTGTGTACCCCTCTGGCACCAGTGACCCTCGGATGTTCACAATTGCATCCTCAAAAGAGAGGCCACCATTCTGTAGTTCATGCAATTTCCCAATCAGATCTGTTGGAATGGCAGAGTTTGGTGTGGTAGAAAAGGGTATACCATTTGCATCCTCTGAAAAAAACAACATGCTTAATAAGTGAAACATTCAACTAAGTTACTTTAAAATTACTTTAATAAAATATTTTTAAGGTTATAGAAATCATAATACAGGATATTTTTATATTGCAAAAAAATTAATGATTATTTGCTTTTTAAGAACTCTCTCTACACTGCACACTAAAGAGTTCTGATTCTATGGTATTTGTCCTTAATATTCTTTCTTCTAAAATTTACATGCCAAAATGTCTATAATTGTATGTACCTCCAGCATATGTAAGCATAGATTGCAGAGTGGTTTTTGACATTTTTCTCACTGCTTCCTTGGCATCATGCACCAACTGCCAAATGTGGAGAGGACCACTTTCGCCTTGTGTTCTGAGAGAATTGAATTCCCCATCTGTCACTGTACCTGAAAATAATATAAATTGAAACTGATATATTTTGCACAATTTTGAGAACATTAAAAGTATATTGGTATTAAATGTGTTTAAGTCATATTTCATACGTTTCTTAATTTAAAATGATACTACTTCAGGGTTGTCCCTAACAATTGAAATAGCAGGGGACATAAAATTACAGAAGGGGGTTTGAAGTTCCTCCCTTAACAGGGCCTTGAGGAATTCCCCATCCTGGGTATTTATGGACAGCCCTGCTACTAAATTGATCACTCGGTAGAACGTACCAACAACCTCCAGTCCAGCATCTTTCATGGCTCTCTTCAAAGGCAATGTTAAATCTCTGATGAACTGATCCCGCAAGGACTTGTAAGGAATGAACTGAACAGGAAGTGTGTAGGGTTTGCTTCTTCTCTGTTCATCAGACACAGCTATCACAACTACATGATTACTGCTGTTCTCTTTTTCTTGTAGAGGTTTTTGAAATATAAATGGAGGTCATCGGTCAGACACTTCAATAGTGCAGGTATATCTTCTGCGTTGTCAAACTTGTCTACAAAACCTTGACACTGTTGTAGAAGGGTATTACACTCCACTACATCCCAGTTGAGTGTCTTAAGAGTTTCAGCGCTGGTATTTTCCTGTGAAATTTTACTCCTAAGGTTTCTGCTTGCCTCCGTGAATATTTTCTCCAGGAAAGTCTTGTCACAACTCAGATCAGACAGTATCTCCTCAAGAGGAATCGCACAGTCAGTATAGTCTGAGAGGGCCACCGACTTTAATCTCAATCTATATTCCTCTTGCAACTTGCTGAGCTGTCCATCTAGCATGTCAACATCACCATCCCATTTCTCTTTCATGGAGTGTTGCAGCCCCTCCTTGACATCGGTACCATCAAGCTTGATCCAATAACGACCTCCAGGATTGGTTTCCTTCAGTACATTGATAGCTGGAGTCAACAATATAAAAAAATCACATTTTCTTCAAAAGTTTAATTAATATCACTAAAGTTATACTTCCTATACAGTAGTATCATTTGGATAATAAATTTCCTTCAAACTAAAATTTATCAAGTCTACAGAAGTTTGAATTTCATGCAAATTTTATGCTTGGTCTATTAATAATGATAATTTTCATTCCTACGTCGACACGATATATCCTGGTGAGCTTGAAATAAAAGATACCACAGAGTCCGACACTTCTGCATCATACTTGGATATTTTACTTGAAAAAGACACTAATGGTAATCTAACAACCAAGCTTTATGATAAACGTGATGACTTTAACTTTTCTATCGTCAACTTCCCTTACTTATGCAGCAATATACCTTCATCACCTGCATACGGAGTATTTATATCTCAGTTGATTCGATATGCAAGAGCATGCTCTACGTATGAACAATTTCTTAAACGAGGTAAATTATTAGGTCACCTGAGTAAACTCAGGTGACCTATTGCTATCTGTTTTCGTCCGTCGTCGTGCGTCGTGCGTCGTCCGTTAACATTTGAATATTTTCAGCTTCTTCTCTGCAACCACTGAACCAAGTTCAACCGAATTTGGCACAAAGCATCTATGGGTGAAGGGGAACATAAGTTGTGAATTTCATGGTCCCTGCCCCCCTGTGGCCTGGGGGGTGGGGCAAAAACTTCTAAAATTAATGCAATCTTTAAAAATCTTCTTCTTTACTCCTGGACATCAAGCATTTAAACTGTTTGCATGATTGTAATCAGCATTGAGTCCTCTACCAAAATTGTGAAATTTATGGCCCCAGGGTCAGGGGTTCTAGTGCTAGGGTGCGGCTAAATTAGTATATAGTGAAAATGCATTATTTCTTTGAAAATCTTCTTCTCTGCTCCTGGGTATTAAATAAACTAACTAAGTGCATAGTTATGATGAACAAGAGTGCCTCTACCAAATTTGTGAATTTTATGGCCCCAGGGTCAGGGGTTCTAGTGTTAGGGCGGGGCTCTATAGATTATATAGTGAAAATTCATGAATTCTTTGAAAATCTTCTTCTCTGCTCCTGAGTATTAAATAAACTAACTAAGTGCATAGTTATGATGAGCAAGAGTGCCTCTACAAAAATTTTGAGATTTATGGTCCCGGGGTCAGGGGTTCTAGTGCTAGGGTGGGGCTAAATAAGTGTGTAGTGAAAATGCATTATTTCTTTGAAAATCTTCTTCTCTGCTCCTGGGTATTAAATAAACTAACTAAGTGCATAGTAATGATGAGCAAGAGTGCCTCTACCAAAATTGTGAATTTTATGGCCCCAGGGTCAGGGGTTCTAGTGTGAGGGCGGGGCTCTATAGATTATATAGTGAAAATTCATGAATTCTTTGAAAATCTTCTTCTCTGCTCCTGAGTATTAAATAAACTAACTAAGTGCATAGTTATGATGAGCAAGAGTGCCTCTACCAAAATTGTGAAATTTATGGTCCCGAGGTCAGGGCTTCTAGTGCTAGGGTGGGGCTAAATAAGTATATAGTGAAAATGCATTATTTCTTTGAAAATCTTCTTCTCTGCTCCTGGGTATTAAATAAACTAACTAAGTGCATAGTTATGATGAATAAGAGTGCCTCTACCAAAATTGTGAATTTTATGGCCCCGGGGTCAGGGGTTCTAGTGTTAGGGCGGGGCTCTATAGATTATATAGTGAAAATTCATGAATTCTTTGAAAATCTTCTTCTCTGCTCCCGAGTATTAAATAAACAAACTAAGTGCATAGTTATGATGAGCAAGAGTGCCTCTACCAAATTTGTGAAATTTATGGCCCCGGGGTCAGGGGTTCTAGTGTTAGGGCGGGGCTCTATAGATTATATAGTGAAAATTCATGAATTCTTTGAAAATCTTCTTCTCTGCTCCTGGGTGTTAAATAAACTAACTAAGTGCATGGTTATGATGTGCAAGAGTGCCTCTACCAAAAATGTGAATTTTATGGCCCCACCAGGGTCAGGGGTTCTAGTGTTAGGGTGGGGCGCTATTGATTATATAATGAAAATACATGAATTCTTTGAAAAAAATTCTTTTCTGATCCTGGGAATTAAAAAGACTAAGTACATAATTATGATGAGCAAGAATATTTCTTCCAAAATTTTGATTTTATGGCCCTAGGGTCAGGGCTTCTAGTGATAGGGTGGGGCTCTATTGATTATATTGTGAAAATACATTAAATCTTTGAAAATTTTCTTCTCTGCTCTTGGGTATTAAGCAGATGAACTCCCTATGTAGTTATGATGAGCAAGGACCCTAATCTTCCAGAATTGTGAATTTCAAGGCCCCAGGGTCAGGGGTACCATAGGGGGGGGATGTACTTATATACTGAAACTGGATGAATTGTTTGAGATCTGCTCCTTGGTATTAATCAAATATTTTTGAAAAGCAAGGGTGCCAGTGGCGGATTTAAGGGGGGCACACCAGGCGCGCGCCCCCCCCCTAATATTGTCAAAGTTAGCGTGAATCAAATAGGTCTACTTGGTAGACCTCATTTTCACCCTTCAAAATCTCTAGAATCCAGGAGCTTCAGGGGCTGGGCCCCCACCAGGGCTTTGGTAGACCTCATTTAACCCTTCAAAATCTCTAGAATCCAGGAGCTTCCGGGGGCTTCGCCCCCTGGGCCCCCACCAGGGCTTTGCCCTGGACCCACTTGCCTATTTTGGCGCCCCCCCAACTCCAAATCCTGGATCCGCGCCTGGGTGCCTTTTCAAAAATTGTGCAATGTGTGGATTTAGGCCCAAGGGTCAGGGGTTCATGTGTGAAAGGGGCATTACTGATTATTGCTGAATATTACTGATTACTTGAAATGCATTTTTTGTTCCCCCACCCTGCCTATGGGTATTAAGTAAACAAACTTAGCAACTGCTAAGTGTATGGTTATGATGATCAAATGGTGCCTCTTTCAAGATTGTGAATGCCATAGCATCTTGCTTAAGACATTAATCAAATTAAATCACTGGAAAGTTGTTGCATTATGCTCAGGTGACCTATAAGGCCCATGGGCCTCTTGTTGACAAGCAAGTTGATGAAACAAGAATATCAACAGTCTCGTTTGAAGTCATCATTTCGTAAATTCTATGGTCGATACAATGACCTTGTCAGCAAATACAATTTATCATTGAATGAAACGCTGACTGACGTTTTTCATACCAATTGTTAGTCCATTATTTATACACTGAATTGACCACGGATTTTTTCCGTTATATCCTGATTATGACAACGAGCACACGGCGGGTGTGACCGGTCAGCAGGGGATGCTTACTCCTCCATGGCACCTGATCCCACCTCTGATGTTTCGGGGGCCGTGTTTGCTCTGCTCTTATTTTGTATATTTGTTTAATGGACGTTGAGATTGAATACTGTTCGTTATTTCCATATCCTTCTTTGTTAAATTTGTTTACATTAAATTTTACATATACTATTGCTTACCTGTATTGAAGGAGTGTCGGTAAAGTCAGAGGAAGCTGTTCGTCTGTTAATTGTGGATTTGCTGACAGCTGCTAAGTTGACTCGAGCCTGAAAACAAATCGATAGAGATTACTAGGGCTGAGTATCGTAAGCTATCTAACAAAATTTATGGTATCTTTAAGTATTCTTGCTTGTTAACCTCTACAGTTATAGAAAATACTAAAGAAAACTATCTTGAGACCCAAAATCAAAGTTATTTAGAGGAGGGTATATAGTCTAAGCTTATGATTTTTCATTGTAACCTTGTTTTCAATCATTTTGTAATATTAATATTCACAGTTTTGATAAAGAATTTTAAAATAAGACAATATACATTTATTGCATGATAGTGAGGGAAATATATTGCGGGAAAATTCACTAGGAGTTCCGAAGAGGTGGAATATGATGAAAAGCGTGCCGATGACAGGAAATATGAAGTTTTACGGCCCGATCACGTGATAACCTAGAACCAATCAGATAAAGCGTTGTGTAGAATATTTATAATGAGGTATAATAATGAACATTAACTTGTACTGTTTCACGATACATACATGGTGATACGATATGCGTATCGTGAGACCTTGCGATAATACGTATCGATGTATTGCTGTATTGTTACACCTCTAGAGATTACCTACTAAAATCCTCTCTATGATAGCTTAGTTTATAGTTAATAGTTCTATTAAATATTTGTTAGCGTTATTTCTATACATGTTTTAAACCACATATTCAATGCATCACAAGGGAAGACTACTCAATAAGATACCTTTAATGGGTCACCAACACAATCCGAGGACTGGCCACTCCACATTGGTCCCCTCAATACTCGGCCAAGCCTGTCATCAAACTCTGCATCCAATGTCTCCAGCCACTGGTAATAATCTTAAGGTATTGAAATCTAAATGTAATTAATTCAAATTTTTATCCAATTTTCAATTGGGTATCTAAATTGGTTTTTCCTTTTGAAATTTTGCTGGTCTGAAAAAAAGTTCTTAGACCACTTGTAAAGTTAATTAGTCAGATTCACCAATATCTTTAAATTTTCATACAATTATATGACTGGGTTATGTAACAAACAGCTTACCTGTCTTACATCACTAGCACAAAAGAACTGGATCTGGTGCTGGATCAACCCAAAAGGCATTCTGTCAACTGGCATAAGTGGCTCATTTGATTCTGGTCTTTTAAGGCCTAAACACCTGGCAAAATCCCTCAAGACATTTGATTTCCCCTTTTCCTTCAGCATCTTCATTGCTTCCATGGCTAAGCTTGGGAAAGTTTCAACATGAGTCACACTTTCACGCTTTGCTGCAGTGATGAACAGTTTATTGAGACAATTTTTCTGTCTGTCTAACGTCAGTCTGGAAAAACTTCTTGAAATAAACTCTTCGAGACACTTAAATGAGGCATTACTGGTGATCTTCACAAGTTCATCTTCAGGAATGTTCTCTTGTGCAGACTGAAGATGAACATGCATTGGGACATCTTTGCCGAGTCTTTTCCATAAGGATATTGCCTCTTCCTCTGTAAATTTTGACAAATAGCAGTGCTGAAATTTCTCCAGACTGAAGGCAGAGGCAGGTGTTGGAGGAATATCCAGAATCCCGGAGTCATTGTGGCATTTGTTTTCATAATTGATGGCAAATTCTTCCTCTGCATCAGCTATTGTTGGAAAGGCCTTTCTAAGAAAGTTCACAACTTTAGCTCTGCAGGCAACACCTGAAAATAAAAAAATTAAAATAATTTTTTGAGGACAGATGATACAAACAAATGTTTTCTTTGAAAAAGATTTAATTTCATGTCACAAGTTTAGAAATGTGGATGGTTCTTAGAATTTTTTCTCCTAAGAACTGGAATATGAAAAAGACTTGGGAAATATTAGTAATATTTCAATGAAAAAACGAATATAAAGAAATCACATTCAGTAAAGGTTTACCCGTGAAAATAAATTTCAGAATATGTTATCCTGGCGTTAAAAGTGTAATATAAACCTTAGAAAAATATACCAAGCCAGGTGAATTTTAAGAGGAAGATCGAAATTACAAAAAAAATGGCATTATCACATAGGCTGATTTTGACTATAAAGCGTTTCCTAATATATTTCACCTGGCTCGGTATATTTTTCTTAAGTTTATTTTACACTTTTAGCGCCATGATAACATAATCTGAAATTTATTTTCACCTGTAAACCTTTACTGAATGTGATTTGTCTATATTTGTGTTTTCATTGAAATATTACTAATATTTTCCAAGTGTTTTTCATATTCCAGTTCTTCGGAGAAAAAATCTAAGAACCATCCACTTTTCTAAACTTGTGACATCATATTTAATCTTTTTCAAAGAAAAAAATTGTTTGTATCATCTGTCGTTAATGGTTAACTCAATACTTTCATTGTCCCGTTTTAAATGACAGTCCCAACAATAGTGGAACATATTCACAATTAGTAGGCCTATGAAAAGCTTTATTTTTTGTTATCTAACAAAAATCTGAAAATATTTTATTTAAAAAAAATGACTTAGTTTGAAAATTATAAATAGGTAAATGCAAATAGGTAAATGCAAAAAAGGATTTTTTTTTAGCTTAACCTAACAAAAAGGTTTTATTTATACGATACTTAATGGTAAAACTTACAAAAACAAGAAACTACAGAACTTTCACATACAACCTTGCCAAGTTCACTAGCCCGTTTGCCATTGAATTTTGTTTATTATGTATCCGCCCATTTCATTGTCTATCAGTGAATATTTTGATTGTAACAGATAGAAATGATGTATTTCCGATCTTGCCAGTTAAAATTAATGTTCTGCGGTCTTATGGTGACATGTTTTTATAAAGTACATGTACCAAATAAGGTATAGCTGAGGGAGTTGAGATATATACACAAGATCAGAAAAAAATGTGTGAACAATTTCTTGGGGGATTTAATGTACATCTGAATTCTGATATACCCATAGCTAAAAAATATGTCAGCTTATAATATTAAGTTGCATATAAGTCTGTACATGTAGGTCATAATGAAAATATTCTTAAATTCTCATTTCAATATTTGGGGAAATAGAGGCGAGCAGGCAGATTTCA